CTTTCCTGTCTTTTAAGTAGTAAATCAGTGAGTGACACAATAGTCATTTAAGGGAACTGGACCTCAACAAATATCAAAACTTTCAAATATCTGTCCCTTTTACAAGTTTAGTGGCATCAAAATTCACTTCCAGCAGATTCTACTAAGAGTATCTTTCTACCTGAAAGCTTCTATCAGGTTAATCAGATTTAAGAGGTTTACAGTTTACAAGTATTGTTTAAAGTTGCAGGATAGAAATATTTAGAAATTCTGGTTTGGAGTTTTGATCTTCAAGATCTGAGGTGGATGAGTATGGAATTTTCCACATAGATGAGGTATATAGCTTTCCAACATAGTCCCAGCTCCCTACAATTTTTCAGCAGGCATTTCAACAGCTCAGTACTTAAGTTTGGACCTGAGGTAATTAATGGCCATTTAAAGGAATGGAAGTGTTACAATGACTGCTCAGAACCCCAAAATCCTACAGGTATTTGCAGCCCTTAATTCAATTTTTTTAGAAAAAGAGGACTGCTACAGAAACAAAATGACTGCTGGTGTAAAATCGGTGGCTGGCAAAGATTTGTGTGGGACTGATGGAATATAACAGCTAAAGTATCAAAGAAACTTCAAACAGACTGGACTGTGATCATTTGCAACTGTAGCAATAAGAAAAGGTTGATGACGTTTGGCTCAACAGCAAGCTATCCAATACAGTTTATGCCCCAAATATTTTTGTGTGATTTTTTTTCCCCTTTTGATGAATACACAAGCCATTAAAAAACAAGTTTCAACTCTACTCGAGTGTGCTACTGAGGCTTGTAAGTAACACCCTGGGTTTGAATGTTAGCATGCTAAGAAAGTCACAGTTGAAGAGCTATCCCCTCGTCATCCCTGTGTTGCAGGTAAAGATATTTTCTTATACTTAGTACTAGAGGTCAGCTAGCTAGCAGCCAGTCAAAAGGGAAACAATATGACTGTGTCTCACCTTGAATGCTGGAATTCAAACATGGTCAGAACTACAGAATCTCAACCAATCTGCAAACCTAAGGATCATGAAACCAACTGTTCAGCTACCAATGTCAACAATACTGGTAAACTCCATTGCAACGGCCACAGTATTGAACTATCTGCTCCTCATGAACAATTCAGAAAATGATCCAAACTTTAAAAAATTTTTTTTTTACCTTTCAGGGCTCACTTCTTATTGCTACTTTGCAATATTAGCATTTATTCTCATGTGTAGCATTTAATAAACTCACATTTTTTGTTAAATTGTCTCCTTGTTAAACACAAGTTCATTTGGGTCTGGGAGAATTGTATTCACAAGGAAAGAAATCTGTTTTTAAATTAACCTTGTTGCAAACAACTGAGGGGTTGGTTGAAAAATGAGGGGAGCCAAATCATCCCTCCTCACTCATCAAATAACAGTGTGGGGTATTCCATCTGGAGCCATAGTGAATTGGGGAAACTCGCCTAGGGCCTGGTCGTAACAGAAACATTTTATATTGCAGCCATGTGAAGGGTTGTAACCTTGGGTAGGAGGTGACAGGCCAGCAGAAGTCATGAAGATTGCCTGTTTAATTATGTGAAGTAGACTATGGTTCAGAGAGTTGCTCAGGCAGAATCACAATATGACCAATGAGTGTGCAAAGGAAGCAGACAAGAAAATGTGTAGGCGCTGCAGCACTCATACCTGGCAGGCATGAATTTACAGCAACAAAGCAGGGGGACCCAGACAGTTTTAACATTGCTTCTAGAGGCAAGAAGGTCAAATTTGAAGATGTGGCTTAGATTAAACTGCTTAGATTAAAGATGAGAAGCAATGACAAGCAATGGTATACAATAAGTACAGATCGGTGGCACTGAAGTACGCAGAGGTTATTGGCAAGCTGGTGGGAGAGAACAAAGGCAATGTCTTCCAGATAGGCTATATCAACTACAAATTAGCTTTCTGAATCTAGAAGGATATCAATGTCACCTAAAGACACACCTATCAAGGAAAATGGCAGCAGAACTAGGTTTAGTGATAACTAATTAATCGACTTTATTGTCACGTGTACCGAAATACAATGAAAAGCTTTGTTTACCAGCGGAACAGGCAGATCACAGCAAGCAAAGGATGTACAGATCAAAAAGACTTAGAGACATACAGGTTACATTGCAGGTTACATTATTTGAGTTTAGAGTCCATTCGACAGTCTGATGATGGCCAGAAAGAAGCTGTTCCTGAACCTGCTTGTGCGTGTGTTCAGGCTTTTGTATCTTTTGTCTGAAGGAAGAGGTTGTAGGAGGTCATTACCAGAGTGCTATGGGTCTTAGATGATGTTGGCTGCCTTTCTGTGCAGCAAGCCATATGAGTAGAGTCCATGGATGGAAGATTGGTTTCTGTAATGGACTGGGCTGTGCACACCACCTTCTGTAGATTTTTACAGTCCTGGGCAGAGCAGTTCCCATACCAGGCCATTATGCACCCGGACAGTATGCTTTCAATGGTGCATCCATAGAAGTTGGTGAGGATCCTTATGAACATGCCAAATTTCTTGAACTGCCTGGGGAAGAAGAAGCATTTTTGTACCTTCCTAACTGTTGCGTCTACGTGGGAAGTCCAGGACAGGTCGTTGTTATTGTCACTCCGAGGAACTTTATGCTCTTCACCCTCTCAACCTCAGTTCTGTTGATGTAAATGAGAGTGTGTTCTCATCCCTTCTTTCTGAAGTCGATGATCAGTTCTTTTAGTTTTGCCGATGTTGAGAGACAGATTGTTTACATTGCACCACGTCAACAAGTCCATTACCTCCCTTCTGTATTTTGTCTTCTTGTTGTTAGATATCCGTCCCATTGCGGTGGTGGTGTCAGCAAACTTGTAGATGGCGTTCATTCAGAATTTAGCAACATAGTTGTAGGTATACAGGGAGTACAGTAGGGGGCTGAGGATGCATCTTGGTGAGCTCCAGCATTGAGTATTATTGTGGAGTAAGTGCAGTTACCTATCCTCACTGTGTGGAGAGCCACCCTTTTTTAAATTCATTCACAGTATGTAGGCATCACTTGTTAGGGGAGCATTTATTGTCCATTTCCCAGAGAACAGTTAATAGACAACTAGACCAAGAAAGGTTGGCAGGTTTCCTTCCCTTAAGGACATTAGCGAACCAGTTGGGTTTTTCCCAACAATTGACAACAGTTCCATGATTATCATTAGGCTCTTAATTCCAGATATTTATTGAATTCAAATCCACCTTCTGCAGTGGCGGGACCTGAACCCAGGTCCCCAGAACATTATTTGGGTCTCTGGATTAATAGTCCAGCAATAATACCACTATCCCTACTTCTATCACCATCAGACAGATCAGCATGTCCTGCCAGTAACCCTCAACATGACCATTTTACTGAAATACATTGCCTTTGGTTCATTCCTTGGGGCAGCAGCTAACCCCACTGTATGTCTCAAGCAGATGACCACAACAGCTTACTGGAAATAATGGATGCCATGTGGACGGGGCACCTGGTCACCTTTGGTACTACACAGGCACAGCAATCACTAGGATTTACTTTCACCATGGAACTTTCTCAAATGGAAAGGAATGTCAACCAGAGCCCAGGACAGGAGTATACATTATGGCTCAATATCCAGGGCTTCCAGCTTTAGGGGGTCTACTGTCCTCAGGTTTCTGGGCTTTTGGTCAGGATGGAGCAATTGTTCTTGGGTTGGGGACAGGGCTGTGTCCAGAAGCAGCACCAGTGGCCATTATTTCTATTCCTGCACCTACTGTCAACTGCATCCACATGGCTGTCAGGCCCACAGGTGAAGTAGCTAGGGCATTCATTGACAGGAAGGAATTCCACTCTATTGAAGCTTAACTGATGTGCGACCACCAAAAGAGTCTCCTCCAGGTCTGTGCATGGTATTTAGTAGCTGCCATGACTCCCTCCTCTCTCGGCAATTGCAGGTGCTGTATCTGTTCGTGCCCCTTGACAGACTACATGGAAAGATGCGAGGGACAAAGGCCACTCATTGAAGGGATCTGTGACAGGTGATTTAAACACGCACTGCGTAGATTATTAAAGGGGGATTCTTTATTCCACTGACTGCATTTTTTTTATAAATATTAATTCAGTTTAGGGAATGAACTATTTATAATGGTTATTCACGGGTTATTGCACATTGATCAAGTTATGGTTTTAGAGTTTAATTCCTGATCCCTGAGTAACCTGCCTCAGTTAGAGGAATTCCCATGACTAACTTTTTTCATGACCCTGTAACACTGCTTACTTTGTCTCCTAAGCAGAAGGGGATCTTCCTCTTCTTGTGGTCTCTTGAACTAATTTTGCCCAGAAGGTCACCTGCAGCTGTTGACTCACTCCACTACTACTTCCCAGCCTTCTTATCACCTTGTGACTATGATCTGTGCTATCTATGGCCCTGCCTCTTCAATGCTGACCCACAAGTCCAAATCTGCTCCAACTCCTAGCTGTTGCCCTGCTGTCTCTCTCTCACTCTCTCTTTCTCTATCTCAATCTCCATGTAACCTCTCCAGCTTAGGGGTGCTGCCAGTCAATCTGGCTTGGTATTCAGTGACTGCATGCTTGCTCTAAACCTCTTCCTGGTTCTCTAGCCATAGACTTCTTACTCACACGACCAAACCTTCTGTTCCTTCCTTCTTTGTGTCTTGCCCATGGCCTTTGTTTCCACATCCACCATCTTCAGCTTGCCAAAGTCATTGCTTCTCTCAGGAAGGAACCCAGAGGAACTCATGTGCACTCCCCTACCATTGCCACTTGCTGTTGGAGGCTCACTACACTTCGCTCTTCACACCCATACACAATCCTATTATCAAGGCACAAAAGCATTGCAACTGCTGACATCTCAACGTAAAGGATCCAATTGAGTAGACCGCTGGATTGTTCAAGATGCAGTGCATCTATTAAGTCACAAAAACCAAGGAATAAATATGTTCAATCATTGTATAATGTTAACTGTTATAACACTGTAACCTCTGAAATCCGAGGTGCCGGTTCAAGAACTTGCCCTGAGCGCTCCTGCAACGCTCGGACTGGCCACTTGTGGCGCTGCACGAGGGGAGGTGTAAGGCCTCAGGCTATCGATGGCGACTGGAGGGAGATTGTCCAGAAATCACATTTCTAGTAAATTTTCACAAGTACCAGGGTCTCTAACATATCCAAACAGGACGAGAAGAAGATGCTGTCAAATTTGTATGTTTCAAGGTTTCTGAGGATGGGCTTGGTGTTTCTTTTAAAAAGTTTTTATTATTAAAAATAATTTATGGGTTGACTGTGTTGCACCTAGTACATGAGGTTCTGATTACCTCAACTCATCTGGAAAGACGATAATTGTTGGTTGAAAATTCAGGCCCCAAAAATTACCCGTTCGGCTGGAAACTGGTTGAGTGAGAGGGAATCAGAAAACCATGCGACGTCGAAGTTGTCGCTTAACTGGTTGTTCTGTGGAAGTTTATGACTTGATAGTCCGCTGAAGGTACAGCTATTAGACAGATAACATTCAAATCAGCATGTGTGAAAAGATATGTAGATCAGGATTAAATTTGCCCAGATGTTAAAAGAGTGCCCTATTTCCACCTTCAGCCATTCTCTTCATGTTTTGATTCCTCTCTCCAAGAAACTGGGCTGAAATTACCAACCTGTTTTAATTTGGCAGTTTCAAGACCATATACTGTAATTCCCGAACACTCAACCTGTAGATCATTATAAATGTGATTATGCATTTGTAGTGCAGCTAAATTGTGGTCTGAACATTTATTGTTTGATTTGGTATTAAGATGTTAGTGTGATAAGAGATTCATTTCTTAATGTGACAAGGCTTGTCAGTTTAAAATGATCCCTGCTGTAGTAATGTTAGTAATGTAGTAGGCATTGTATGATTGTGTTTTGTCACACCCATCCTAACAGTAGATGGAGATTTATTGTAACATCTCACCTGAAAGATAGCATCTCTGATACTGCAGCATTCCTTTAGAGCTGAACAGAAGTGTTAACGTGAGTTATATGATCCAAATCATAAATACTTTGAACCACAAACTTCTGATTCAGAGGCAAAAGTGTTACCACTGCTGATCCAAACTCTCACTGGTTCTTTGCCTTGATAAATAGCTGTAAATGAAAAATAAAATCCGTGACAGTTGTATATGGGATTCCACAATGCCTGTTGTGTGAAATGGCAATCTCAGTAGTGAAAAACATTTTTGTTATTGGCAAATTTTAACTGCGAATGACACTGGAGTTAATTTATAAGCAGAATCCCGTGGATGCTGTAAATCTGAAACCAAAACATAAAGTGCTATAGAAACATAGCAGGATTGGCAGCATCTGTGGGGATAGAAACATTTTTGAGCTCGGCATGACGTTTCTTCAGAATTGGAATTAATTTGTTAGGATCTCCCACACAGAATTGTTTCCACCAGTCATAACCTGGTAAGAATTTATAGCATTGTAATGCTGTACCAAAGCCACCAGTACTAACACTGCATTAATCTTCTCATTTGTAGTAACATAATAATATTTCATTTTGGGTTTGCAAAATCTCTTATTTGTCTCTGTGTAAGAGTTGCCTTTAATGAAGTGCTGCTGAGTATCACATGGCACAGGGCAGCCATGAACAGTACTAATGATTTTCATCTTTCCTTTGCTGTTGGAGGTGAATTCATGCAGCTATCTCATGCACTGCCAGTGCAAACTTGGCAGAAATTTAGTAGAATAATATTTCTGTGCCAGAAGAGCAAAGGAAATTTACTCCCCTCTCTTTTTTTTAGGAAAAGAAGAAACAATTTAGTTTTATTTCAGTCTTTATCCTCACAGTAAATGCCGGAACTGCACACTTCGTAGATTCAAATCCCTTAATAGACCAGAGAAAACCAGATAGAGTAGTCAGCCATCCTTCACATTGCAAGTACAGGGCTCCCCTGAAATTTCCTGTAACCTGGTTCTAAATAGGGAAAATGTGCTTTGCTTTCTCTGCGATATCAACCACCACGAAAAGCAGACATCATTCCCAGCAAAACTTTCAATTAGTAGGAAATAATCTAACCAATCAGATTATTTTTAAAAGCTCATCCTCGGATGTGAATGTCGCTGGCTAAGCCAGTGTTCATTGCCCATTCCTAATTGCCCTTAAGGTGGTGATGAGCTGCCTTCTTGATTACTGTATTCCATTTCGTTGTGACAGCTGATCACAGCCCTGAATTATTTATGGATGCATTGAACTTTAATTACAACTTTTGTTTTAAAAGAGGCCATACAATCAAAAGATGACTATAGAAGTAAATTCAGTTCCTTTCCTGAGAGGATCCATGTGATGTCACATTTGAAAAAGTGCCAGTGGAAATTCAAACGGCAACCCTTTAGAGGGAGAGATGCATTTCAAAACATGCTGAATTGTGATCTCCTGTGGCTGCAAGGATAATAAGAGGCTGACTAAGTCTTTCAGCAGAATACCATCTCCTTTGGATTTTATCTCAAACTACGGATGTGTTTTGTACTTTACCTTTCTAGCAATATACAAAAAGGAGAGCTAAAATCAGCTGCCTGTGTATGTCATTGGGCTGATGTTCAAGTGTGAGCTAGTGTGCTGTGAAGTTACAACTTAGGGAGAGCTGTTAAACACCCTGCATTGCAGGTTAAAAAAAATGAGTGGAGAGAAATCAAAGTTAACATTTCAGGTCGAGTGACCTTTCTCAGAACTCATTTCTGAGGAAGGGTCACTGGACCCGAAACGTTAACTCTGATTTCTCCCCACAGATGATGCCAGACCTACTGAGCTTTTCCAGCAATTTCTGTTTTTGTGTCTGATTGATAGCATCCCCAGTTCATTCAGTTTTTTAGACAATACACGCTGTAAGCCTGGCAAGCCAGTGAAGTTGGTGTCGTAATGGAAACAGGACAAAAGCCTGTCAGTTAATTTGCAGAGCTAAGAATCTCAAAATAAATTTGTTCCAAATGTCACGGTTAGCAGAATCATTCACCTTCCTGACTGCAATGTTCTACCAAATACTTTTCAGAAAACCCAGAGATTTATTCATATGTCTTTTTAACTTACCTTTTTACTCAATTCAAATCTTTAAGCTATGTGTATGTGTGTTGTGTTTTGTTATCTTTCCTCATGTTTAATAGCTTATAAACTCACCCCTTCTTTAAATCAAGAGAGCTGGTTAATTTGGCTTCTTTTAGAGCCTAAACACATTTAGACTGGAGAAAAGTATCCACGAGGGAAAGGATTCTATTTACGACCAACCGAGGAAGGAGTTGAATTAAGAAGGAAGAATAGTTTGCTCCTTCTCACGTAGGACCATAGCTATTTAGGAATAATAATGTGATGTAGATAAGCCCACAGCTTTGGACATGGGTGGAGGGGGTTGGCATTTGCAGTATTTTGACCCAATGACTAGTACCAAGTCAGGATAGTGTGTAGCTTAGAGGGGAATTAGCAGGCGTTGGTTGTTGCATTCATTTTTTCACTTATTGACAGGATGTGCATGTCACTGGGTGGACTCGTCCCTGGTTGCCCTTGAGAAGGTAGTGGTGAGCTGCTTTCTTGAACTGCTACAGTTCATTTGGTGTAGGTATACTTGCAATGCTGTTAGGGAGGGAGTTCCAGGATTTTGACCCCGTTACACTGAAGGACCGATAATATATTTCCAATTCTGGATGGTGAGTGGCTTGGAGGGGACATTGCAGGAGTTAGTGTTGCCATGTAATTGCTACCCTAATCCTCCTCGTTTGGAAACTTTGTGAGTTTGGAAGATTCTGTTGAAAGAGGCTTGGAGTTATAGAGTCAGCAACATATAGTTCAGCAACAGAACAACTCAGATCCAACTCACCTGTGCTGACCAAGTTTCTCAAACTAAACTAGTCCCATTGCCTGCATTTGGCCCATATCCCTCTAAGCCTTTCTATTCTAAACCTGCCCAAATGTCCTTTAAATGTTGTTACTATACCTGCATTTACTATTTCCTCTGGCAGTTCATTCCACATACAAACTACTCTCTGTGTGAAAAAGTTTCCTCTTAAGTCCCTTTTAAATTTTTCTTCTCTCACCTTAAAATTAAATTTTGAACTCCCAACCCTAGGGAAAAGATCTATGCAATTCACCTAATCGATGCCCTTCATGATTTTATAAATCTCTATAAGGTCACCCGTCAACTTTCTACACTCCAGTGAAAAAATGTCCCAGCTTATCTAGCCTCTCCCCTCCAGTGTCAGTAACATCCTTGTTAATCTTTTCTGCACCTTCTCCATTTTAATAATATCCTTGTATAGCAGGGTGACCCAGAACTATTCCAGTACTCCAAATGCAGCCTCACCAATGTCCTGTACAACCGCAACATAACTTCTGAACTGCTGCACTCAATGGTCTGAGCAATGAAGATAAGCATGCCAAATGCTTCTTTACCACTCTGTCCTCCTGTGAGGCAACTTTCAGTGAACTGTGTACATGAACCCCTTGGTCTCTCTATTCTACAGCACTCTCCAGGGTCCTACCATTAATGGTGTAAGTCCTGCCCTTATTTATCTTACCAAAATGCAACATCTCGCATTTATCTTTCTGCCGCTCCTCAGCCCATTGGCCCATTGATCAAGATCCCTTTGTAATCTTAGATAATCTTCTCACTGTCTGTTATGCCACTAGTTTTGGTGTCATACATCATGTAGATAGTATACACTTCTGGCTCAGTGCATTTACAGTGGAGAGAATGAATGCTGAAGATGTGTAATAGGATATGCGATTAAACATGTATAAATTATATGAATGCTGAGATCATTTTTGAAATTTAGCTTTCAAAATGGTAGCGTATGGTGTTGGTTGCTTTTGTGAAAAGTTCCTTTAAATTAAGGACAGGGTCAGAGAGTCCTTCTGAAATAGTGATTTGATACAGTAGTGTCAGTGAGCAAGTGACTGCAAACCTTTGTGAAAATCGAACAAGTCATGTTTATTCTGGGATCTAGCTTATCCATTAATTAGGATCTAAATAGGTATCAATTAGCAGACTGCTGTGGCCTGGATGGAGTTGAGTTTCTCAAGTTTTGTTGGAGCTACACTTGCCCAGGCAAATGGAGAGTCTTTCATCATACATCTGACTTGTGTCTTGCAGATGGTGGTTAGACTTTGAGAAGTCAGAAAGTGAGTTACTTGCTACAGCGTTCCTAGCCTCTGATCTGCCGTCATAGTGACACTACATATGTGGCTGATCCAGTTAAGTTTCTGGTCAGTGGTAACAACCAGGATGTTAATAGTGGGTGAGGTCATTGAATGTCAAGGAGAGATGGTCAAATTCTCCCTTGTTGGACATGGCCATCTCTTGGTGCTTGGGTGACACAAATGTCACTTGCGACTTATCAACCCAAGTTATTCAGATCTTGCTGCATTTAGACACGGACTAATTCAGTACAGTATCTGAGGAGTTGGGAATAGTGCTGTAGAATTATCAGTAAAAATCCCCACTTCTGAACTTACATTGCACAGTGAAAATCTCCACTTTTGACTTTACAACGGAGGGAAGGTCAGTGATGAAGCACCTGAAGATAATTGGGCCTAGGGCACTACCACAATCATCTTGGTAGCCAGTTAGCTCATGTGCTTAGAGCAGAGAGCTAATTAAGCCAAAGTTGCAGGTTCAGTCACCATAGTGACTAATGTTGCTGGCGTCCATGAACAACTTTAATTCCTAGGGTTCTTGTGGCGCAATGATAGTCTCCTGTCTTGGTTCAGAAGGCCCGGGTTCAAATGCCACTTGCCCCAAAAGGCTTGTCTGGGTAGGTAGATTGTAAATATCCAAACTGTTTGTCCAGTCAAAAGAAAAAAACTTACCATAATTATCTTCCTTTTTATGTTAGATATGACTTCAATCAGTGGAGAGTTTCCCCCCCAATTCCTGTTGACTCACTTTTGATTGGACTCCCATGATGCCACACTGGTCAAATGCTGCCTTGATGTCAAGGGCAATTGCCTTCACTGGCCTCTCGGATTACTTCTTTTTCCATGTTTCATCCAAGACAACCATGAGATCAGGAGCTGAATGGCCCAGGTGAAACTGAAACCGAACATCAGTGAACAGGTTATTATTGAGTAAGAGCTACGTGATAGCACTGTTGTCATTCCCTTTCATCACTTTGCTGATGATTAAGAGTAGACTAATGGGGTAGTAATTGACCAGGTTGGAATTGTCCTGCTTTTTCTCAAGAGAACATTCCTGGGCAAATTTCCACATTGCCAGATAGATGCCAGTGTTGCAACTTATTAAAGTCATTGACAATTCTGTGAAAGCTTTATGGCTTTTCACAATACAATAAGGAAATGAAAGTAGCTTCCACAGTAGATGTATTTCAGAAATTGCATCACTTATGAAAGAAATTAATAACAACGGGGTGAGCTTGCCAATTGGATACAAAATTTGCTTAACAGCAGGAGACAGAGAGCAATGGTGGAGGGTTGCTTTTCGAACTGGAGGCCTGTGACCAATGTGTTCCACAGGGATTGGTGCTGGGTCCACTTTTGTTTGTCATTTATTTAAATGATTCAATTGAGAATATAGAAGGCATTGTTAGTAAGTTTGCAGATGACACCAAGATTGTTGGTAGAGTGGACAGGGAAGAAGGTTATCTAAGGTTTCAATGGGTTGAAGAGTGTCAGATGGAGTCTAATTTGAATAAATGCAAGTTGTTGTATTATGGTAAAACAAACAAAGGCAAGACTTATACAATTAAAAGTGGGACCTTGGGCAGTTTTGTAGAACAGAGAGACCTAGAGGTTCAGGTACATAATTCATTGAAGTTTGCATCACAAATAGATAGAGTGGCTAAGAAAGCATTTGGCATGCTTGCCTTCATTGCTCAGACCTTTGAGTATAGGAATTGGGACATTATGTCAAGGGTGGTGAGGACTCTTCTGGAGTGTTGTGTCCAGTTCTGGTCTCCCTGTTGTAGGAGGAATATTATAAAGCTGGAGAGGGCTCAGAAGAGATTTACCAGGATCTTGCTGGAAGTAGAGGGTTTGAGTTATAAGGAGAATTTGGATAGGCTGGGACTTTTTTCACTGGAGTTTAGGAGGTTGAGAGGTGACCTTAGAGGTTATAAAATCATGAGGAGTATAGATAAGGTGAATGGCAGTTGTCTTTTCCCAAGGATGGGGGACTTCAAGACAAGAGGACATATTTTTAAGGTGAGAGGAGAAAAATTTTAAAAAGGCATGAGGAGCTTCTTTTTTATACAGAATGGCTTGTGTGTGGAATGAACTTCCAGAGGAAGTGGTGGATGTGGGCACAATTACAATGTTTAAAAGACGTTTGGATAAGTACATGAATAAGAAATGTTTGAAGGGATATGAGCAGGCAGGTGGGACTAGTTTAGTTTGGGATTATGGTCAGCATAGACTGGTTGGACCGAAGGGTCTATTTCCGTGCTGTATGACCCTGTGACTCTATGACTGTATAACTGAGTTTTAGTCAGGCATATAAACCAGCATACCGAATATCATTAATATGTCAGCAATATTTCCAAAGTTACTAAGAGAAATGAAGATTTTAGAAGTTAAATAATGAATTGCACTGCTTCATTTATCAAATATTGGTTTTAGTGATTAAAAAAAATAGAGCTGCAGTATGGCACACCATGAACTAAAGGAATAAACATCAAAGGGGGCAAAAGTGTGAAGTTTGGAAGTGGTTTAGTTCTCTTAGTTTGTAATAGAAGGAAGAGGTTTGCTGACATATTGTGCACGTTGCTACAACCAGGTGAGGAGGCAAAATTTGCTCACCCCCTTTTAAACCCCTCTCTGATCACGCAAATATGTCTATTCTTTTTGCATGCAGTTTTATGAGTTAAAGGTGTAGTTACTAAATCAGCATGGAGTGAATTAAAAGGTTTTCTTGAGTGAAAGAAAGTATTATCTGCTAACTCCGAAAACAGTAATATGATGTCAAACACAGCGGCGAGCGCAGGTAATAAGTTTAAAAAGATGAATGTCTGGTATAGCTAAGGACAATAAAGGTTGTGCACTTTAAAATTCCTTAGAGTTCTTGAGCTGTTAAGTTTTTAACTTTAAGTTGTGTAATTGTTGACTGGTATGAATCCTTAGCACGCATAATGTTTGTAGATATCTTTTGAGTTCTCAGTGAATGGTTGTTTTCTCAATTTGTTTTTTACTAGGCATTCTTTTGGAAAAGGTGGAGAAACAGGCAGAGACAGCGTCTTTCAGGTCTTACAAATCCATCTTCTTTCTCTCTCAAAAATAGTTGTTGAAATATAGCCCAATGTGTATTCCTAAATTAGGTTCCATTGTCTTTCTAAACTGGCTAACCGACAGGAAAGCCTTTTGTCCCCATAATGTGTTAAATTATCATAAAAATGTGATTTAAAAACAAGAGATGCAGTTTTCTTGATGGTGACTCAGTTGCCTGATTTCAATATATTTAGATAGAAATGGTAATTTCAGTGCAGATGTTTTGTTTATTCCATATGAGCCTCATGACGTTTGTCTGAATCTGTGGTCAAGTTACCACTGCAGCCATTTTAGGTCCATGTTTGTTCCTTTCTAAAAATTATTTTTGTCCATGAAAGGTTACAGGTTATAACAATTGGAAATTAAAATTTGATAGCTGATCATTTACTACTATTGTAACAGCATTATATTGAGAATATGATGTTTTTCTACATGAAGACTTGTTTAGCCTAAGTTGGCTGAAATGCTGGTTTGTATGCAGAGTGATATCAACAACATGGGTTCAATTCCCACACCAGCTGAGGCTACCATTAAAGGACATTCCTTCTCAAGCCGTTCCCTCCCCTCTGCTGTGATGACTGTCCACCACCTTCAGATATCTCTTTCTACTGAGAGAGCAGACCTCTGGGACCATGTCAACTTTTTAATTCTATGTACCTTTATTCAGTCATTTGGTTAATGGTATGTAAGTATAAATTTTTCACAAAGCAAAAAGGTTTAGTCCTGGTTATCAGTCCAATTGATTCCTGATTATGTTGCATGGTAGGGGGCAAAAATGCTGGATTCCTTTTAGAATCAAATTATGGTATTGGTGGAAAGTGTTACCATCATACTGTGTGGATGAATCTGAATTGATTAGCATTTTTGCAGCAGCAGGAAAGATCAAAGAGCAGAATATAGGCTGATATTACAGAGGAAGATGATATTGCTAGCAAACAGATACAGAGAAGGAAGTTCTGCTTGAGGTCAGGCAGCCAGGCATACCAATGTGCTAAGCTTGAGCTGGCAGCTAGGAAGGAAGATAAAATTAAAATTAAACAAAAGATACATACAGGTGTAATCTGAAGAGGAAAGTTGAAAAACAAAACAATCTTTGATATTACTCTGAAAATAATCTTTTCTGATTTACTATCAACGTTCCACTTTATCTGTTTGTATTGGCAGTGATGTAACTATATCCAGACATGCAGCATTACAGAATTGTCACTGCACAGTAGGAGGCCATTCGGCCCACCGTGTCTGTGCCAGCTCTCGGTATGAACAATTTATCTATAATTCATACATAGACATAAAGTAAAAAGATGAAACTTACCATTAAATCTGTCAGATAATGTTCAGAATAGAGTCCTTAATATGCCTAAGCTTTCCAGACTCTGCAGTAACATGAGGCCAATGAATGATCACCTTTGCAGTCTGATATTTTGTTTGTTCGTTCATGGGATGTGGGCATTTTTAGCTGGATGTACATTTCTGGATGTACAAGTCCCATCCCTAGGTGTCCTTGAGAAGGTGATGGTGAGCTGCCTTCATAAACCTCTGCAGTCAGTGTGGTGTAGGTGCACTCACAGAGCTGTCAGAAAGGGAGATCAAGTGTTTTGACACAGTGACAGTGAAGTAGCTGCAATACAGTCCCACATCAGAATATTATGTCGCTTCGAGGGAAACTTGCAGATGATGATGTTCCCACCTACCATCTACTGTCCCTGTCCTTGTAGATGGTACGGATCATGGGTTTGAACACTGCTTTCTAAGGAACCTGAGATGAGGAGAAATTTCTTCAGTGAGATGGTGGTAAATCTGTGGACCTCATTACCACAGAAGCTATGAAGACCAAGTTGTGGATTGTCTATATGACAGCGATAGATAGGTTCTTGATTAGTAAGGTGTTTGAGGGTTACAGGGAGAAGGCAGGAGAATGGAATTATGAAATACATCAGCCATGATCAAATGAGTGGAGCAGACTTGATAAGTCGAATGGCCTGACTCTATTCCTGTGTCTTTTGGTCTTGAAAAGTCGCGTCTTATGCTATACATTGCCACTATGCATTGGTGATTGAGTAAGTGAATGTTGAAGGTTGTGGATAGACTGCCAGTCTAGTCAGTTACTTTGTCCTAGATGGTGTCAAACTGTTGTATAGGTATTGTTGGAACTCCACTCATCTTGGCAAGTGGAGAGTATTCTGTCACATTCCTTTCTTGATCTTTGTAGCTGGTGCACAAGAGTTGAGTTAGGAGTCAGGAGATGAGTTAATTGCTGCAAAATTCCCACAGCCACTGACCTGCTTTTGTAGCTGCAGTATTTATATGGCTAGTTCAGGTGAATTGCTTGCCAATGATGGAATGTCATTTATGGAGCAGCTGAAGATGGGCCTAAGATGCTATCTTGAGAAAGCTCAGCAGGTAATGTCCTGGGACTGAGCTATGGAGTCCAACAACCGCAACTACCTTTCTTTGTGCTAAGAATGACTCCAACCAATGGAAAATGTGCCCCAGTTTCCATTGAGTTCAGTTTTGCTGGACTCCTTGGTGCTACACTCATTTTTACACTACCTTGATGTCAAAGATACTTACTTTAACCTTACCTCTTGAGTTCAACATTTGTCCATGTTTGGAAGAAGGCTTGAGTGGCCCCGGCAGAATTCAAATTGAGCATTAGTGGGCAAGTTAATGTTGAGCACATGCCACTTGGTAGCACTATCAATGACACTTGCCATCACTTTGTTAATGATCACAAACAGACTGATGGCACAGAAATTGACTGGTTAAAAAGTTTGTAGTTCCTTTCCTAACAATATTGTGGGTGTTACCTGAACTACATGGACTGCAGCAGTTCGAGAAAGTACATAATCGTTATGTGCAATATTACTAGCCTAGCCAGCAATGCCAACATCCCCCAAAAGAACTGTTTTTTAAAAATTAGCTGCGTTGTATTTGCTCTACTTCTTGTGGTTAGGACATACCTAAGTGAATTTTCACATTGCTGGGTAGATGCCAGTGTTGTAGCTGTCCTGAAACAACTTGACCAGTGGGTGCAACTAGTTCTGGAGCAGACTGCTTCAGTACTGTTGTCAGGGCCCTGCCTTTGCAGTATCCAGGGCCTTCTGCCATTTCTTAATGTCATGTGGAGTGAATTGAATTGGCTGAGGACCAGTATCTGTGATGCTGAGGACCTCAGGAGGAGCTGAGCAAAATCACCCCCTTGGCACTCCCGGCCAACGATAGTTGCAGTTGCTTTCATTTTGTCTTTTACACTGATGCGCTGGGCATCTCCATCACTGAGTTTGGGGATAATTGTGTAACTACCAGAAATTAGATTTAATCGGCCTTTCTTGGTAGTTTCCCTCAGCACTGTTCGTCAAAGGCTCTCATATAATCATAGAATCCGTACAATGCAGAAAGAGGCCATTCAGCCCATCAAATCTGCACTGACTGTCTGAAGAGCATCCCACCAAGACCCAGCCTCCACCCCGTCCCCATAACCCTGCCTTTACCTTGTCTAATCCATCTGACCTACACATCATGGACATTGCAGACAATTTAACATGGCTGATCCACCAAACCTGCACATCTTTTGACCACCTCTCCAACCACCACATCAGGATAGCAAGATTAGGAAAGAAATGGCTGTTGAGGAGGCTTTTAGTTTCTTAATTTCCAGCCTAGGAGGAGAGAAATCAACTGATACAGTGAGGGAAACGTGCATTTCGATTCATTTCCGTGGCCTGTACCCCAAAAAAACTTTGCTATATTTTGTGTGCTTGTTATAAAGAGGACTGTTTGACACATTATGGACAACAGTCAGAGGGGACGGGGAGGAAAGGGGATGTTATCCAACTCTTCCTCCCCTCATCTTCAGCACCCACCAACTGTATCGATATCCTCTGGTAGGAGTGTGAAATGTACCTTATTGCAATAACCTGACTTTTCCTTCTCCCCTGCATATTTTGGTGAGGTCAGCAGTTGGTGAATCCTGGAACCTGTGTTGAGATTGCTTGGAGTCTCTGTCCACTTCGTTCCTTATGTCTCATTGATGTGTTAATTCTCAATCAGCTTTTTCAGTTGTGAACCAAAACTCTGGACTTGCCTTTCTACACCTGTGGCTCAACAGGCAATAATACAAATATTCAGCATGGCCCTGACTCCAAGCGTTTACTTGAATATTGGATAATCAATACTAACATAGTTGTTTGCATTTCAGAAATTATAAAAAAGTAACAGGACGTGAAGCTTTGGAGAAATGTAAAATGGTGTCTGCCCTGAAAGCAGGAGAGGACAGGGCCATATTTCTGGGCCTGGGAATGCTGGTGTGCTCGATAGTGGTTGCATTCCTTTTAGCATCGAGATTAGTTCAATCCCACAAAGACAGGTACTGGAGAAATATCTATTTTATTAAATATTTGTATATTGATTTATAATGTTAGAGCTAATAAATATAGTTTGTCAATTTTTGAACCAAACAAGCTAAATTATTGTACATTTTTAATTAAAATATGGTAACTGCGTCATAGAACAGAATTTTTCCACTGTGAGTGTTTTTTACCTACGCAAAATGGACTACAGATTTTCAAGGAGACAGTTTCTGAAGGGCAACTAGGGCTGGACAATAAATGCCAGCAATGCTCACATCTTGTGAGCGAATCTTCTTTTTCAAAAAAATAGTGTCAGGGGCACAATCTGGTGAGCACGTCACTCACACACAGCTTGTCAAGGAAGCAATGCCTCCATGAGGCATTCAGAGGGCTGCTGGAGACCAGGCAACTGCTCAGCTGCAGGCAGAAGATGATTGCATTGTCTAAGCCATTAATGTCTTCATGAAAATGTACAAATCAGCACAGGAATAGTAGTCAAGTTATTCAGAGGAAGTCGGTAAACAGGAACAAAGGATACAGGGGTACACTAAACTTATCAGTAACATGCTGGCTCAGACATGTATCTGCCTGGCTCTCAATGAAGAGGTTGCAACTGCTTCGGGGACCCAGGTCCAGCACACTGTATGTCTGCTGGATGTGCACATAGATCTGCACTCGGTTGCTGTAGCCATAGTTACTAAGAATCAAAGTCAAGCAACCCCATCCTTTTGGGTTCTATGAAGGTCCATCTTCATTTTGCCTGTGACCCCAAAGCTTACAGATGTTCCAGCAGAGGTTGGGGTGGGGGTAGTGGTGAGCTTGCATCTGGGCAAGACATGTTCAGAAACATGAGCCCGAGAAGCCCAAATTCTCCCGGGAATCCAAATCTTCCAGACTAACAGGTCCAAATATAGGGCAGGCTTTCTGTACACCAACTTACTGAGAACACAGGTGGCATGGGTAACACATCATTGGAAAGTTTCTTGCACTTTTGTAGTATATATACTTATACACTCTTCAAATGTTTTTATTTATTCATTTGTGGGATGTGGGCATCGCTGGCTGGTGGTGGTGAGCTACCTTCTTGAACTGCTGTAGTCCACCCGCTGTGTGTTAACTCACAATACCGTTTGGAGGGAATTCCGGGATTTTGACCCAGTGAAAGTGAAGGCAGTAGATTTCCATGTCAGGATGGTGGCTGACTTGGAGGGGAACTTGAAGATAGTGGTGTTCCCAAAAATCTGCTGCCCTTGTCCTTCTAGATGAAAGTGGTTGTGAATTTGGGAGGTGCTGTCTGGGGTTCTTTGGAGAATTTCTGCAGTGCATGTTGTAGATAGTACACACTGCTGCTACTGAGCGTCTGTGGTGGAGTGAGTGGATGCTTGTGGATGTGGTGCTAATCTAGCGGGCTGCTTTGTCCTGGATTGTGTCAAGCTTCTTGAGTGTTGTTGGGGCTGCACTCATCCAGGGAAGTGAGGAGTATTCCATCACACTCCTGACTTGACCCTTGTAGTTGGTGGTAGGGCTCTGGGGAGTCAGGAGGTGTGTTAATTGCTGCAGTATTCCCTATTCTGACCTGCTGTTGTAGCCACCGTGTTTATGTGGTGAGTCCACTTGAGTTTCTGGTCAATGATAACCCCCAGGATGTTGATAGTGAGGGATTCAGTGATGGTGACACCACTGAATGTCAAGGGGCGATGGTTGGATTGTCTCTTATTGATAATGGTAGCCTGGCATTTGTGTGGTGCGAATGTTATTTGTCACTTGTCAGCCCAAGCCTGGGTATTGTCCGGATCTCAGATGTTGTTGCATTTGGACATGGACTGCTTCAGTATCTGAGGAGTCACGAATGGAGCTGAACATTGTGCAGTCATCTGCCAACATTCCCACTTCTGACCTTATGATGGAGGGCAGGTCATTGATGAAGCAGCTGAAGATGATTGGGCTGAGGACACTCCCTGAGGAACTCTTGCAGAGATGTCCTGAAGCTGAGATGACTAACCTCCAATAACCATGATCATCTTCCTATGTGTCAGATATGACTCTAACCACAGGAGAGTTTGCCCTGATACCCACTGATTCCAGTTTTGCTAGAGCTCTTTGATGTCACACTACATTGAATGCAGCCTTGATGTCAAGGGCTGGCACTCTCACCTCATGTCTGGAATTCAGCTCTTTTGTCCATGTTTGAACCAAGGCTGTAATGAGGTCAGGAGCTGAATGGCCTGGGCAGAACCCAACTAGGCATCACTGAGCAGGTTATTGCTGAACAGGTATGGCTTGATAGCAATATTGATGACAATTTCCATTACTTTACTGATGATCGAGAGTAGACTGAGGGGTGGTAATTGGCTGGTTTGGATTTGTCGTCTATTTTATGTACAGGACATACTTGGACAATTTTCCACATTGCTGGCTTGTCCAGCATTTATTGCCTATCCCTATTTGCCCTTGAGAAAGTGGTAGTGAGTTGCCTTCTTGAACTGCTGCAATCCACCTGCTGTGGGTTGACCCACAGTGCCTTTTAGAAAGCAATTCCAGGATTTCACCACAGTGGCATTCAAGGAACCGTGATAAATTTCTAAGTCAGGATGGTGAGTGACGTGAAGCAGAACTTCCAGGTGCTGATGTTCTCATGTATTTGCTGTCCTTGTCCTTCTAGATGTTAATTGCCATGGGTTTGGAAGGAGCTCGGTAAGGAGTCTTGGTTAATTTCTGCATTGCATCTTGAAGATGATACATGCTGCTGATAATGAGCATTGGTGGTGGAGAGACAGAATGTTTTTGGATGTGATGCCCATCAAGCAGGCTGATTTGTCTTGGATGGTGTCAAGCTTCTTGAGTGTTGTTAGAACTGCACCTATCCAGGCAAGTCGGGAGTATTCCATCACACTCCTGACTTGAACCTTAGAGATAATGAACAAGCTTTGGTGAGTTAGAAGATGAATCACTTATGGCAAGAATCGTAGTCTCTGTCCTGTTCTTGTAGCCACGGTATTTATATGGCTAGTTCAGTTGAGTTTCTGGTTAATGGTAATTCCCTTGAATGTCAAGAGGCAATGGCTAGATTACTTCTTGTTTGAAACGATCATTGTCTGGCATTGTGTAGTGCAAATATTACTTGCCTCTTGTCATCCTAAACCCAGATATTGTCCAGGTATTGCTGCATTTGGACATAGATTTTATTGTCTGAGGAATGATGAATTATGCTGAACATTGTACAGTTGTCAGCAAACATTTCTAACCATATGATGGAGTGAAGAGCATTGATGAAGCAACTGGAGATTGTTGGACCTAGGACATACTCTGTGATGAGCTCTGGCAGAGATGTCCTGGAGCTAAGATGACTGACTCTTTTGACAAACTAATGATGAATGAATGGCCAAGCACTGCTCATCTTTCACAGTGACTCCTTGACTGTAAATAGCCTCAGAAATGAAGGATGTTTGACCTGTAACTTTGATTACTCCAACCAAAGTGTTGCCTTTTAATGTGGACAATACCGAGCTTGAGGCAACTTGCAGGGATTATGCTTGGGCCTGCCACACAACATTTCAGAGTAACATCCACCTTATGACTGAGAATGTGGACTAGGTGGTGTACAACTCTTGGATGTCAAGCTGTCTTAAGTATTTAGAGCTACCAAAATTAATCAGTCACTGCTTGCTGAAAATGATGTAATTGTTCTGTCTTTCCACATTCTATTTGTTTTTGAATCAAGACTACAAGAATTCCAGAAGCAGCAATGTCCATGTTAGAGGTGTGAGCAGATAATAAATGGGGAACATCACAAAGTGAACACAATTTCATTAATGGCACTCCTGAGCCTTCACATTAATTAAAAGCATGTCCCTGTGCTCTGAAGTGTAATGTTGATGGGGTGAAGTGAGACAACAGTTGGATTAAGAGTAGGCGTGATGATATGGTGAGGCTGGTGTTTGGCCCATGCTGATTTATGTGGCTTAAATGTAGAGCGGGACAGTGTCCATGGATTATGCAGGGCCATTGCTTGTCCAGGCTTTCATCACAATCTGCAACTGCAACCGCCAGGATCCTGCTCTGTCTTACAAGTTGGGAAGAAGAGAAGAATTGGAAGTGATGTATAAATGATTCTTGTTGGGCTAGTTATGAGATGCACATGTATAGTGGGATTTAGTTGCCACTCAGTAGCAAGATTCTGATGTTGTCGTTTTAAGGCTTAAGAAGAAAATCTAAATATTAAGGTTGCTTTTTTTATCATTCATATTTTCCCAACTTTCTTGCTGTTATCCATATTGCTCCAGAGGCATGAATATTCTGCCCATAGTTTTGCAATTAGTCAAAATATTTTCAATTTCTTCAATTTATAAAATGGCTTGCATTGCAAATGCTGAAGCGAAGATTAAAAAGGCAGTGTAGTTTTGTATCACTATGTGGAGGTAGGCATAAAATGCTCAAAGCAAATCCAGCATTTGATATCATTTTTCTGAAATACAATAAAGTGAAAATCTTGTTTGATAAAATGATATCTAAAATTCCATGTTAAGTTCAATCCTGAGCGATATTTTCCCACAAACGAAGAGACAATACTAATATCACTAGGCATTCTACTAAGGTAGGTCTTTGAATATTTATCTCATAAAGATGCAGAGCCTAAATCTGTATGTCTGACCTCTAATCATGGCACCTAGCATTTTTACAGGGGAGGGGGAGGATAATAATGGGGATGAAGGGAATATGGTGACATGTTCTAACTTGAAGATGTTAAAGTGCAGCTGTCTCAGGCTTGCCTGATTTTAGTCTATGGAATGTCCAAAGCATGACCTATGTACTTTAGATCCAACCTAAAGCTGTCAGAGTTTTTTGGAGAGGTTAAGTACCCTTTTCGATATGGACACAAGACATCTTTGATGAGGTCAAGTGCACTTTAGGTCAGGGATGAAAGTTAATGTTTATTAAAAGTGGACCTTATTATGGTAAAAACTGCGTTAACACATTGAAACTGTCACAAGAGCATTCAAAACTACCCTTTAAATATTTGAACAAATTGGAGCAGTCAAAAAATAATTTTACTCTGAACATAAGCCTGAAGCTTATAACTACAGGCTTAAGTTTCTTAAGTTTTCTTACCACAGTGGAATGCTGAGTTGACATGTTGGATTCAGTAGCGGTAGGTGGTGTTTGGGAGAATGGAATGGGATGAATTGGCAACAAGTTGGCATGAGGCATGGGTACAGGGATGTAGGCAGGCACAGGGTATGAGGCACCATGGAGGGTAGTTGGAGGTCATGAGGTGGCATAGATGGGGCATAAGGAATGAGTATGGGGGAGGTGAGAGGTTTTTGGGAAGGCTAGTTTTTCTTTTATTTGTTTTCATTTTTGTTGTTTTTGATAGAATGCTGTTGTACTGTGATAGACCTTCTCCTTGTTCTGCCTCCACAGCCAGCAGTTTCCACTCTTTCTGGCATCACACTCCTTGATTCTCGTAAAACTTGATCCCCTGGAACTAGATTTCCAATTTCCAAGGCATATTTTTCTGGGTTGCATTTGTGGAGCCAGGAATTGTTCCAATTCTGGATTCCTAACCCAGGAGTCAAATTTCAGGCCTAATATTTTGTTTCTTGTTATGATTCACAGAATACATAATGACTGATTTTTAAAAATCATTGAAAATTTCAACTATGACTGTTTAGTTCTTAATGAACCAATAAATCCTGAAGTAAAAGTTTAATTTCACATGTTTTACGGTTAACTTAGAAAAGCCCTGGGAATTGTTGGTGTTGAATATCGATTACAAGAATGAAGTGATGAAGTGGATTTACAATTATTTGCTAGAAGCTTGATTGGAACAACGATGTGGCTCTTAAATCTGTATTTTTATTACAGCCAACCTACTAAAAGAAGACCATGTTCTGATATCTAGTTTTCTTTCATATTCCTAGTGTTTGGACACAGGAATCGACATGCACTGTCCTTGAAACCAGAATTACAAATTGTAAGAAATGCATACACAACTGCGTGTCAAAATGTTGGAAGCCATCAGAGTATCCTTGCGTGCAAATATATGTCAATCTATCCTCAACAGGGTCGAGGGTTTTGCTACACCACACACACGAAAGTGTGCGCTTTAATCCGGAGGTAAGGAACTGTATTACGGAATTTCATTCCTATGATAATGAACCAATCAAATACAATGTGAGTGGCAAAGTTGCTGGGGGTTTATAGAGATGGATGGTAGTGTGGCAGTGAAGAGATCTGGGCCTTGAAATATGTGAAGATTAAATCAAAGTAATATGAGGTATGGAGGTAACTTATTTACTGAATGTAACGATGCTTTAGTTCCATTTTGGAATCAACTTATAGATAATAACTCACATAACTGTCTAATTTCACACTTCCTGTAAATATCAGAAGATTTCCAGTCTTAATGCTTGGAAAATCATGTACAATATTCCTCTGTTCATTGGTGAGGGTAATGCTATTGATATTCTGTATGTGGACTTCAAAAGACATTCAACAGAGTGTTGTACAACAGATCTAGGAGAAACAATATTGTTCATGGAATAAAAGGGACAGCAGCAGCATAGATGCCACATTGGCTGATTAATAGGAAACAGAGAGTAGTGGTCAATGAAAATGTTTCAGGATGAAGGAAGGTTTGTATTGGAGTCTCCTGGGAGTCAGTATTGAGACCCTTTCTTTTCCTGATACATACTAACGATTTAGGTCTTGGAATTAGACAACAGTTTCAAAGTGTGTGGATGAATGAAAACTTGGAAGTTTTGAAGATATTTTCCAGTCAACCTGTTCAGAGATGTTATTACCTCCTTGGAGCAAGTGGGACTTGAAGCTGGGCCTTCTGGCTCAAAGGTAGGGATCCTACCACTGTGCCACAAGAGCTCTTAAAATGCCCATCAAGGAATCAAACCCCAGTCTCTCACGTGGCAGATGGAATTCAAACCATGCACCTGGATGTATATGTGTACTGATCACTGAAGGTGGCAGGACAGGTAGAGAGAGCTGTTAATAAAGCATGCAGTATCCTGGGTTTTATCAATAGGGGCATAGAGTGTAAGAGCAAAAAGGTGAGGTTGAATTTATATAAAACACCCGTTAGAGCTAAGTGGAAATATTGTGTGGAGTTCTGGGCACCACATTGTAGGAAGGATGTAAGTGCATTGGTGAGAGTGCAGGCACGATTCACACAAATTTTATAGGATGAGAAATTTCAGACACAAGTAGATTTGAGGGGTTGGGACTGTTCTCCTCGGAGAGAAGAAGGTAAGAAGAGATCTAGTGGAGGTTTTCAAAATCATGAGTGTTTGGTTGAGTTGATAGAGAGAAGTTGTTACTGTACTTAAAAAAAAAAATCTGAGAACAAGAGGGCATAGATTTAAATTGATTTGCACACAACAAACGTGAGAGAAAAAGAACATGTTCACACAACAGTGCCTGGAACTGTGGTGGAGGCATTGTCAATTGAGGCATTCAAGAGGGTATTGAATGATTATTTGATTGGTTTTCCCTTGGACCAGAACTATTAGCTGGTCTGTCGTAAGTGTGGAAGTTTTTGAGAGCCAGTGAGTTGAATCATTCTCCTTCTGTGCTGTAGCCAACGTATGACACTATAATTTTATGTCCTATAACAATTGGTAAGCTGCAGCATTTTGCATCTAAGGCTCACAAAATAACATTCAACTGACTTCCAAATCTGAAAGTGGTTCAGACCTCCCAGCACCTGGTCTGATCTAGTGATAAGGAAGGAACAGATTACTGCAGATGCTGGAATCTGAACTGAAAACAAAAAGTGTTGGAGATTGCAGCGGGTCAGGCAGCATCCATGAAGAGAAAGCAAGCTAACGTTTCAAGTCTCAAAATGTTAGCTTGCTTTTGCTTCATGGATGCAGCCTGACCTCCTGTGATCACCAGCATTTTTTGTTTTCAGTTCTGTTCGAGTCATAAAGCAGCTTTACCAACTTAATATTCCTTTCAGAATTTAGGACAATGCTTTGGATTGGCAATTCTACATTTGCAAATAACCTACATTGTTCTAGAGGGTCAGTTAGTTGGACAGATGGTTGGTTCGCAATGCAGAGTGATACTAACAGCTTGGGTTCAATTCTCACACCATTTGAGGTTACTATAAAGGACTCTCCTTCTCAACCTCGCTCCTCATCTGCGTCATGGTGACCCTCAAGTTAAACCACCATCTATCATCTCTCTGTCTCTAATGAGAGAGCTGCCCTGTGGTCTGCAAAGACTGTAGCAACTTTAACTTTTTATTGTTCGAAATTGTTGTAGCTGTTCTGATCATCATGTTTGCTGTAGACTCACAGGATAAAAATGAATCATCTTTTTTTCTTTTTCAGTGTTTCTGTGCTACAAAGTGTAGTAAGAATCGTGCAGAAACTGAAATGCTCATAGCTTCTATTACGGAAAATAGCACGCAATTCCAGCCTATTTCTTTTCCTTGTTACTATGACCCAGAAGGACGACAAAATAATGTTCTCTTGACAAGGTTTGATTTGTCTAATGCTATGTTACATTTGTCTTTTTGGCCTTCTTGTATATTTCTTGGTGGAATTGTAATTATTGTCATGGTAAAACTGACACAGTACCTGTCTTTGCTCAGTGAACAGTCACAGATGAGAAAAAAATAGCCTGTTTTCTCCTAAGTTCCTTAAGAATTTACATGTAAAAATGTTACCAGAAAAGAATTCCATTTCTCTGTTACACATTTTCAAATAAATTTTACTAGAATGTCTGTTGATTAAATATGTAAAATGCACTTTGAGTATCTCCATAATTAAACAATAATTTAGAAATATATTACTAATTTGCACATAGATAACTATAGTCACAGATACTGATTAGCAAAACAAGATGTTAATACATGAAAAACAATCTCATTCTTAGAATGAGTTAGCAGGTGAAAGCAGTGCCTGCAAATGCTGAGAATGTGTTGGTGCTAATAATTATCAATCTGTTTTACTCATGATTATCATGTGTTTCCTGGAACTTTCACGTGGAGAAGGGGATTTTTAACTACATATTTTTAAATAACGTACCTTCCACCCAATTCTTTTCAAAGGCTGAGATGTAAGGTTTGATTTGAATAACTGATGTTTATTAATCAACTGAAGTAGGTAGAGAAATCAGCGAGACTACAGTGGGAACTAGTGACAGGATGCAGTCGTTACAGATGCTTGGGTGCATTATGTCAGCTGAGTATGAATAGCAGTGTGTAACTTTTTTTTTAAACGAAACTTTATAGTTTATTTTTAAAATTCTACATATTTAAAAAGAAAATGGTGGGAAGGGTGTTATTTAGGCAAATTGCTTTGTCTTGAATTGTGTCCTAGGCTTGAGTGCTGTAACTGTTGCACTCAATCCAAGCAAGTGGACAAATGCCATCACATTCACCTTGTGTCTCAGAGCTGACGGAGGAGATTTGGGGAGTCATCGGCTGAGCCATTCAACTCCGAATACCCAGCCACTCATTTGTTCTATTGAATATCCCAGGAGATGGTTAGGCTCACTAATGTTAGAGATGGTTATTACCTGGCACTTGTGTGATGTGAATGACAAAGCCTGGATATTTGTCAAGGTCTTGGCAAATCCAAACATCAACTATTTAATTATCTGAAGAATTGTTAAGTGAAACTGAACTATAATTATCAACAAATATACCCAATTCTGACCTTGCGTTGGAGGGAAGGTCATTTATGAAGCAAGTGCTGTCCTGAGAAACACCACTACTGTTCTAGAGCTCAGGTGATCATCCTCCAGCAGCCACAAACACGGCCAAAAAGAATGCAAATTAATTACTACTGCCATTAATTTAAGATCATCAAAAGAATGAAAGGAGAAATTTCTGAGAAAGGTCTAGACCCAAAACGTCAGCTTTCCTGCTCCTGTGATGCTGCTTGGCCTGCTGTGTTCATCCAGCTCTACACCTTGTTACCTCAGATTCTCCAGCATCTGCAGTTCCTACTATCTCTGAACCAATTCACTATGTGTCCTGTTAAAGCTTTTCCTGCAATGTTTGGCTCAAATGTTCTTTGTCTCGGTAAACTGCTGGAAGTATGAGATGATAATGATAAGGCAACGTGGTATTTGGGACATTGGTAAATTACGGCACCAATAAGGTATCTCCTTAGCGCTTGAGGTTTAAGGATTGAGAAATAAAGTGAAAGAACCAAGAAAGAGGACGTATTAGAATGAATGTTAAATCAAGTGCAGGAAAAGAAATAAAAGGGGGTAAAGATTTGATTTGAAGTGAGGGGAAACAGACAGAAAGGAAAATTAATAAAAACTGTTTTCAAATTTAAATTCGACATTTTTAAAATTCCAACAACAATCTTATTAAAGGAGTGAGACTCTATCCTTAAAATTTTCACTTTCTGGACCAAAAAGATTAATTAGTAGTCATTAATATTTGTCATAATGTTAAAGATTACTGTACCCTATTTTTACAAATATAAAAATTGGATGGTGGAAATCTGAAACAAAAGCAAAAAATACTGGTGTGCATCATTCACTTGTTATTGTTTTCAGTAAATTTTTCAGTCCATTAATATAATGCTCCTGCTTTCAAAATTTCTACATAACACTTTAAGTCAGAGCTTCTGAAAATTGTAATTCATAATTATTATTTTGCAAAGTATTGAAACTTTATCACTGTCCTCCGATGAGAGTGAATCCACTTTATATTTATTTTGCTCTGTAATTTGTATAAGAGTTACTAGTATGTGCCTTTTTCTTTGGATATTTATGCCCTTCCATGTTAAGCACAACAGGAAAGGTTAACTTATAGTTATACAGCAAGGAAACAGACAGTCCACAGTGACTATGTTCCCAAACCAAACTAATCTCACTTACCTGCATTTGGCCCATCCTTCCAAACCTTTTCTTATTCATGTACTTATCCAGATGTCTTTTAAGTGATGTAACTGTACCTGCATCCACCACTTCCTCTGGCAGTTCATTCCACACACAAACCACTCTCTGCTCCTTAAATCTTTCTGCTCTCACTTTAAAAATATGTCCCCTAGTTTTGAACTCCCCCACCTTAGGGAAAAGAACTTTTGCTGTTCACCTTATTTACTTCCCTCATAATTTTATAAACCTCTTATAACGTCATCCCTGTCAACCTCCTACGCTCCAGTGCAAAAAGTTCCAGCCTATCTAACCTAACTTTATAACTCAAACCTTCCATTCCTGACAACGTCCCAGTAATTCTTTTCTGAACCCTTTCCAATTTTAAGAATATCCTTCCTACAGCAGGGCAACCAGAACTGCACAGTACTTCCAGAAGAAGCCCCAGAACTTCCCGTACAACCTCAACATGACATCCCGACTCCTATAACCAAAGGTCTGAACAATGAAGACACTTGTCCTGCCTTATTTCTCAAGAAAAGGTCAAGTTTTGCTCCTTCTGTAGTAGGTAGGTTTACATATTGACAAAGAAAATTATCTTGAACACATTTAATAAATTCTTCACCATCCAAGCTCTAACACTATGGCAGTCTCAGTCATTGTTTGGAAAATTAAAATCCCCTACTATTGCAACTCTATTATTCTTACATATACCTGCAATCTCTCTATGCATTTGCTTTTCAATTTCCTTCTGACTGTTGGGAGGCCGATAGTACAATCTCATCAAAGTGATCATCCCTTTCTTATTTCCAAGTTCTATCCATATAGCTTCTCTGGACAATCCCTCAGAATATCCTCTCTAAGTACAGTAGTAACATTTTCTTACATCAAAAATGCCACTCCTCTCCTTGCTTGTCTCCCTTTCTATCCTTCCTATAACATCTAAAACCCAGAATATTGAGCTGCCAACCCTGTCCCTCCCTCTCAAAGTTTCTGTAATAGCTATGATGCCCAGTCCCATGTTCCCATACATGCCCAGAATTCATCAGCCTTACCTGTAAGACCCCTTGCATTGAAATAAATGCAGTTTAATTATTCAGAGTTCCCTCATTCTCTGACTTGCTCTTGTCTGTCTTTCTAATTAACTTGCTCTGTTTTGATTCAGAACCATCCTCAACTGTCTTTCTATTTTCACTGCTACATAGGAACTCCCCACCTCATCTGCATCATCTTTTTATTCCTACTGTCACTAGAATGTGGCACTGGGAATAAACCAGAGATTACTATCTTTGAGCGTCTGCTTTTTAACCTTCTACCTAACCTCCTGTATTCATTCTGCAAAGCCTTACCCCTTTCCACCTAACTCTGTCATTCTTACTAATGTTTACAGCAACTTGCGGCTTCTTACTCTCTCTTTTGACAATATGCTTCAACCATTTTGAGATGTCCTTGACCCTGGCACCTGGAAGGCAGCATACTATCCTGGATTCACCGACCTGACCACAAAATCTCCTGGCTGTCACCTGTAACAATTATTCTTTTAAATCTTGACAAACTCTGCTTAACATAAGATTCAATCTTAGTGCCCAAAATCTGACTGCCATTTCTATTTTCCTCTGAGAGACTATCCCTTCAACAGAACCCAAAACAGAATATCTGTTTGAGAGAGGAATAGCCACAGGACACTTCTGAACAACCTTCTTACCGTTCCTGACAGTAACCCATCTATCTGACTGATCCTGCCATGTAACCACCTCTCTAAATCTACTCACCATCACACTCTGTGTCTCCTCTACACCCTCAGTGGCATTAAACCTCAAAAGTAGCAGCTCTTAAAAGAACCTTAGATATTAAAAAAAAAACTACCCCTCCTTACCCACAGATTTTAACCTTAAGCATGCAAAAGAAAAAAAAACTAATCATTTAAAATATTTTTAAAAAACAAACACTTTGCTAAAACTCCCATCACCCAAAAAAAAGCCTGCTCTTCAAATCCTGTATCAGACAGCTTTCAAATCTCTGGACCTGAGAATGGATGGCATGGTGGCTCAGTGGTTATCACTGCTGCCTCACAGTGCCAGGGACCCAGGTTCGATTTTCACCCTCGGGCGATGTGTGGAGTTTGCACATTCTCTGTGTCTGCATGGGTTTCCTCCGGGTGCTCCGGTTTCCTCCCACAGTCCAAACGTGCAGGCTAGGTGGATTGGCCGTGCTAAATTGTCCATAGTGTCCATGGACGTTAGGTTGGTTAGCCATGGGAAACGCAGTGTTATAGCGATAGGGTAGGAGGATGGGTCTGGGCGGGATGCTCTTCAGAGGGTTGGTGTGGGCTCATTGGGCCGAATGGCCTGTTTCTGCACAATGGGGATTCTATGAACACGTTTGGCATTTGTTACTGATTACGATGAGAAAAGAAATGCTGATCCCTGTTGTCATTTAAGCATCTATAACAAACAAGTTGAAAAAGAAAATCTTCAGAGTTCCATCGTGCAAACAGGAAAAAAACCTCTCTCCGGAGCCGTTGCCATTCAACAAAAGGCGGACAGGCCTCTCCCATGTGAGAAACAATCTCTCCTTCCTCCTGTTTTTTTCCTCTGTGAATTTGTTTTGGACTATAAAAGTTCAAAAAATAATTTTAAATGAAAATTTTCTGCTTCTGCTATATAAAAGCCAGAGGCAATTCACAAGAAAAACCTGCAACTCAGGTTTTGGGAGCAGCTGCAAGATCCACGCTACTCTCGTTTCACCCATTTTTCATACTTGTGTGGCCAAGATCAGGTAACACTAACACCAAAACAGCTGTCCATTTCTTCCAATATCTAATAAATGCCACACAAAGTGTTTCCCCTCAATTACATTTAAGATTGATATTTATCAGCTTAGTG